CTCTCTCTCTCTCTCTCTCTCTCTCTCTCTCTCTCTCTCTCTCTCTCTCTCTCTCTACGTGCACCTTCTCTCATCCTCTTGCTTCCTGGTGAAGCCCGATGGCCGATTCTCCGGCTTCCTGGTGAAGCCCGAGGGTCGGTTCCCTTTTTTCTTTGAGGGGAGCTCTATCAAAATGTAAGTTCGTTGTGCTCGAGGCTTTGGTTGTGTGCTGAGGTTTGTAGAGCACGACTGCATGTTCCTTCGTGACGTTCCAACCTCCCTTGTGCTAATTCTTGCTTCGTTCCCGTTGGTATGTAAACCCTCTGCCGTATTGGGGAATGACTAGGGCCATCAGATGGAGTTCCTTCGTCGTCGCAAACGTCCACCCCGAAGGTGGTCGGTAGAGCAGCAATGTTCCGTGGAATGGAATAGGCGATTGACTGGTACGGCGGGATTAAACAGCGTGGTTGTGGGGCAATTATTTTCCTCAAGGACGATGCTGGAAAGTTCTACGTCTGTGGCGGAATCGACAGTTACAGCGTGGAGAAATTCGCCGGTGAGGAAGGGTACTACAATTTCCACTTGACCACATGCTTTGACAGTGGAGGGAGATGCCTGGTAATTACAAGAAAGTGTCGCTGAGTCGAGGTTTGCAAGCTTCGGAATAAACGCTGCGTCGATGCCCTCGTTCGATAGGTCGAAGAAACTGAAGAGTGTTGCGATGGTGGGACCGATCGAGTTCGTGAAGAAAACACCATGCTACAAAGTCGCGGGCTTTAAAGTGAAGGTGAACAAAGATTTGGAGTTGTCGACACCCTTCGTACCGATGGGCACTGCGAATGACGCGCTGACGGACATTCTTAGGACACACAAGCACGGGGAGTCTAGGCAAGGAACACTGCAATCCGCTCTCACTGCTGGAATGCGAATTGTTGAATGTGGCACAAGGGGGAAGAAAGTCTCACAATCTGGGAAGGTCAGCGCCAGTGAAAAATTTCATGTTCCCGAAGGCCCGGGCACAAATGGTGGTGCTCAAGATGGGTGTTCACGTCGAAGGGAGAAAAACAAGAAAGCATCCAAAACTGATGAGACGTCATCTTTGTCTGGTTCTCAGTCGCGACTTCCCGCCGCAGCTTCGTCATGTGACAATGACGGCAACGATGAAGAGAAAACAGAAAGTGACAACCGCGATGTGCAGTCGTCTGGCAACCGTTCTCCTAAAAGGATTGGCAGGGATGATGATGATGACAAACAGTCAGCTGAGAAGGGTGAGGGGGAAGGCAGTTCGAGCGATGATGATAGGGAGGAGAGTGAAGATGATGGGGAGCAGGGTAAGGACGAAAGTGAGGAGCGCGAGGGAGAAGGGGGGAAGGGCGAGTATGAAGACAACACACGGACCGATGATGGATTCTCTGCAAGATGGCATGTTAATAAAGACAAGGGTAAGGAGAGCGAAGGGGATGGCAGCAGTGGGGACAAAGAAGAGGACGGCGTCGGAATCGGCACACAACCATCATCAAACTCTCGCAAAAGAAAAATGGAGGCAGGAAGATACGATGGAGCAGAGCAGAGTCGGACAAAGTTGCTTAGCCTAGGCGCATCTCACAATGCATTCGTGCAACACTTAGAAAGGGAATGCGAGAAATCTGCAAAAGACAAGCGGGAGTGGGAACGACACACCAAGAAGGGGAAGAAGACAGTTAGGGTCGAAGGAACAAAAGAGGTCGCTGACTCTGGTGATGAAGGAGTTGGGGTTGATCCGAGAGACGACACCGTGAAAGCCGGAAAGTTACCGTTGCCAACCTTCGACACCACAACATGTTTCTTCCTCCAATACGACGATGATGGAAATGCAGTGGAACGACCTCAAGAGATATACGTCGACTGCATGAGAGTTTTGCCCTGCCCTGTCGGTGGGCGTGTGCAGTACATTCACAGACCGTTGAATGACATGTTGGTCGTTTCTATCATCAGAGTGATGGAGCTGCCAGAGAAGAAAGGAGAGTGGGACAGGGCCACATGGATATTGGCCCCTGTAGAGGAGGTGAATGTTGATGGTGAAAAGCAGTGGGCGCGGGTGAGACCTGAGCGTTTCCGCGCGGATCACGTACACACATACCATTGGTATGCGATCGGTGGACAGCACACGGCAGAGGCTTGTTGTAGACTGGTTGCAGCCAATTCGCCCGCTGCACAAAAATGGGGTGTGCATTCATGGCATGCTCGTGCTGTCTATTTCGACGACGACCATCTGGATGGCTATGCTCATATTTCGACTTTCGATAATACAAGGGAGACACGAGCTATCCCGGATTCATTCCGAGTGTCGGTGAAGAATATAAGAGACTTGTGGAGTGATATGGGGATGCCTTCAGGCGATTGGCAATACGYAYCGCYGGAAGCAGATAAAGAAACYATGAGGGAGAACTATCARAAGTTCATRCGCARAGCGGTCCGACTAACTGCCGACGCAGAGCTTCGGAGTCAAACACTGAAGMYGACGTACAAWACGAACTGGACAAACTTAGTGAGATCACATCTGACATTGGCAACAGTTGGAAACAAAGTATGGGGACTSCTAAACCGATTCTTTGACTCGTGGGAGGCAGGACTGTTGCCCGACAAGACAGGCGTGCCTCCAGTGGATCAGCAAGGAAAACAAGTCGCGATAGCAGGTCCAGGTCCATGTGCGCTTACAGTAAAAGGCAAGAAGGAGCTTGTGCACTACGTTCAATCGAACAAATCGCCTAATGGGTATTACGTCTGCATTAGAGATCCTCCGCAAARTGCATGGAAGGTGWTTGGCGACTTGACTGYYARGGAAAAGGAGATKGTGTTAGATAAGATATTGGAYYGCCAGGTGGTTGTCACAACGGGTCGAACGTTCAACARGAACTTGCTTAACATGGATGATATTCGGGTGGAAGTTCGGCGTGAGAAATACATGATACACCTCTTCAATTATGTAGTTTTCAAGACGGAAGGTCGCAAKGAGGAGGAGTGGAATGATGCRTTCTTCKGCGGTTATTCACAAATAATGAAGAGATTTGGCCCRTTGGGACTTACAAAGGAACAATGGKAGGAAAATAAGAGGAAGGTGCCAGCTCACAAGGCCAAAGATGTGCCAAAACGTCTGGGTGGCATCGATGAGCCAAAGGTGGGGAAAGTAGGAGGGTACAAATTGACGCTCATGAAATATACCGAGTGTCCATATTATTTGAAGGAGTTTATGCATGAAGTGATCGGTGTCATTGATCAACTAAGGAACGAGTTGCGGGGCATAAGTGCGAAAGCGCGATACATAATGTGGGATAGAAATAAGGATCACACAACGTTTCTTCCCGTTTGCTTGGCACCGTACGAGGCACGGCAACCATCAGAGGAAATCACACGTGCTGTCAAAAAGTTGAATTGTCGCGTTGCGGTCCTCGACATTTGCCCACGTAAGTCCACAACGCCACAAGACTGGTCAGACGGGAGATTTGTTGAACTTCCGGAGATGATGAACACGTTTTGTGGAACGGATTGGGTCATTATCATATTCTCAACGTTGAGATTGGAGCAAACAGTGTTGAAGAACGTGTTGCGGTGGGATCACGTGAAAGTGGTAACAGGTCGTTGGGAGAGACATTTCGGTAAGGACCAGTATGTTGTTTCGACTGGTAATCTTCCATTGCGCCCTCAGGACTGCATGACCGTTGTCATGCATGCGGCCGACAATGACTTCAAGAAGGTCACTGTGCAGCCTCCGAACCATGTCACCTGGTTTGATGATAATATGAAAGAGGAGTTGTTCGTGCAATGCACGAATGAACATGTTGGGATATCAGGCGACACAAAAACCATATATGGGCAGTGGGAGAGAGAGCCGAAGAGAGTGAAGGACCTGTGCAAATGGTTTGCAAAGGAAGGCGAAGGTGTGTTGCTACTCGGGAATGTGCAGGCAGGGTCAGTGTGGAAGGTGTTGCGGTCATGACACAATGTTGTTGCATGTGACGCCAGTTCCACAATCATCGATTACACGTCCACATTCCTCGATATCCAAGTCCACAAGTCGGAAAGTCGTTGCCACTTCGAATGACCCAAGACGCCGCGCCTTCCAGACAGAGACATGTATCTTAAGCTTGGCAAGAAGAGAGAATCATTGTGGAGATACTTGTTTTGTAATGCACCAACGACCACTAAGGACATCGATTACATGCACCGGAAAGTGTTTGCCATCCAACATCTCCAAGGGTACCACGGGGCTAAAAATGGTGCAATCGAAATATTCATAGGTCGGTGTGAGTGATTATGGTTCAAGAAAAAAGAACACAGATTGCGCGCCAAGGCATACGCAGACGAGCTGGATGCGGGTGAGCACTTCGATGTACTTGACAGCGAGGAAGAAACGACAGATGATGATATAGATTTGCCGATGCCTTGTGCTCAAGAAGAGGTCCAACATACATTGGAGGGCATTGATGATCGTCAGCCAATGGAGTGGACAAAAACAAATCTCGTCCCAAGTCGGGAGAGCATTCGTGGTGGGGAAGAGAGGTTGTACTGCACAAGAATGAAGCGGAGCGTAGCAAACGATCTCCAGGGCCAAGATTGTGCAGGTGATGTGAGCAAGAACAACTGCAATGAAGGGTTGGAGCCACAAGCGACATCATCGAGAGGAAATGAGCCACCGCTCCAATCAAAAGCCAAGGAAACTACTGTAAAATATCCAGGGATACTGACTCAGCTGGACACTGTATATGCAAGCATGGGTCTGTCGAAGCTCCCAAGAGACAAGCACTGTAATCTGAACCGAGAGGAGAATGCGCAGCCTGGCGGGATGGACGACAACACCATAAAGTTCACACTTCCCCATGAAGAGGACGAAAAATTGATGCCGGGGGATAAAATTCGGGAGGATATGAAGGAGTTCACCGGAGGCCCGCACTTCCTGAGCCACATTGGGACATTGGTTGAGACAGAAGACCACCAGTGGGGCCATCATATATTATGGCACCCGACAGTTTTCGAGCCCTGCGTGTGGAACGGGAAATGGCACATGGCTTTGTTCATCGTTGGTGAGTGGAAATTGAGAAAACGTCTATTGAAGAGCAAGTTTCTGGAGATCGCAAGGGAACAAGTTCGTATAAAGTGCGGGAAGCCAACGACGGATCAGATTGCCTTGCACAACAGGCATATGCCGACACACTTTTCGAGAAGCTGCGCGGGGAAAACTTGCTCGAGTACAGTGCAAACTTTTACGATCTTGATTCCAGCGTGTCGAACTGTCATGTCCAATGGAAGCTCGCAAGTCGCGAACCGGGCCACGAGTTTGAAGGCGACATACATCTTGGTAGCAGTCAACAATTGGCTGAAGAAGGTGGCCACGCTTCGACAAGTGGAGTGAGACTTCCACTCGCGATCACAGTGCAGAGTGATGACCACGCTCAGGAGAATTTGAAGATGGAGATTTATGTTGGTGACAAGGACGAAACAATAAGAGATACGACGCGGGCTGAAAATCAATCATTGCAGCATGCATCGCACCAAGAAGAATCTATGGTGGACAAAGAGTCGGCGAAACACTTTCTAACAATGACATCCCCTAAGGTCTGCAGGGGATCGGGAACACAAATGGTCACAGAATCAAGCTCCATGCAAGGAACTGAGATGACAAGAGAAGAGACCTTGCCGCATCAGGAGGGAAGAGAAGGTTTGCCAGGGGGCATACCTGATTTGATGCCTGGGCTGCAGTCTGATAGCGACGCCCCGCGTGCTATGCAAGGACAAGAGGAAACATTCAAAGAAGGTGGTGAAGTTAGTATGCAGCGGATTAGTGAGTCGTATCAAGAGGAAAAGCGCAAGAGGGCGGATGATGACGATGTCATTGACATCAGGACACAATCAGGTGAGCAGCGGGAGCATAACAAGGACAAAGAGGGGAGACAGAATGAGAATGAGGAAGAGGAACACCGCCATGATATACAGCATAAGAAGATGAAATAAGCAATGAGAAGTCAAGGAAAGGGGACACCACAGACAATGTCGTGCCTAGACATTCAGGGAGACCCGTTGCAAAGAAGATACGGCTTAACGACTAGTTTTGTTGATATAAGTAGTGTGTGTCTAGATGTGTGTGGGTGTGGGTGTATAGGTGTGTGTGTGTGTTTTGGGGGGGGG